GTTTGTAATAATCGAAGCATACTGCTAGTAGATATTGTTTGTTTTAGCTCGTTATGTATTATCATCATTTTTTAATCTTCTTATAAACTATGTAATAATTTTTTTTTATATAATAATGAAAAAAACAATCATTTTAGTTTAGTGATTTTGAATCGAAATCAATTGAAAGTAATAAATAATTTTAATTATAAAAAATTAGAATTTCAATTCATAAAATTATTAGTTTAAAATTTCTAATCAAACACTAAATTGGAAAACTTTTAAATTCTTGGATTATATTTTAATGTTAATTGTGGAAGATTTGGACACGTGTCAAATATTTGCCTTGCAAGTTTAATGCCCGAAGATTTTCAAAAAATAAAAAATAAACAACGCCATAATTTAAGTTGCGGAATGTGATAGGCTGAGGCGGAGTAACTGTGAAGGACAAAAATGGAATTTCGTTTAAAAAGACGATAGTACCCTTCGACCATTCCCTCGCCCTGCTTTGGGGTGCCACGTGTCGGCATCGCAACTAAAGAGCAATCAGGCTCCCGGCGTAAAGTTCTCTGGCTCGCCGGTGCGGTAAAAACCGAAACTATAATTTACCCATGACTTAAATAATTTATTATTTAAAAGAATAATGTGAATAATTATATTTATAAAATTAAAATCATGGTATCTTGATGTTATAACCTCTGGGATGAGGACAATTAAGTCAATAAAGTAGAATATTCGAACAAAATATAGATTGGAAGGCTAAAATTTATAGTTTAAAATGCATGGCATCAACTTGCGCATCAAATTATTATTATCATCATTATTATTATTATTATTATTATTAATTATTGAAGTAGTTAAAATGTTTTAAATAAATAAAATAGACAAAAATGGTAATATTTTTAATTTTATTGATGGATTGAGGTAGAAAGCGAGTGGGGGTGCACCCCCAGCTGGAATTGGACGGTTGTGAGCGATCCATCTGTACTACTCTTGCTTCGATTCCGATGCCCCTCTCCAACTTTCACCTTTTCATTTCCACCCTTCATTTTTCCTTTTCTTCTCTTTTCCACCCCTTAATTATTCTATATATTGCCTTCTCGCCACTCTCAAAATCCCTTCCCTTCTTCCTTCTTCCCTCTGTTCCCTCCATCTCTCCGCCGTCTCCCGTTCTCTCCCTCTCCCTCTCCGCCGTCCCCGAGAGATTTAATCTGTTCCATATCTCTTAATATAGATGCTAGAAACCGTGTCGTTAACGCTTGAGATTGATGTCTCCGGTTCTCAGTGAAATCCTCCGTTCCGGTTTCACCATAAGCTCATCTCTCCGCCGCCGCACCCACTTAGTTCAGTCCTTCTCCGTTGTATTCCTCCACTGGTTCTACGTCTTCTCATGAACCGTTTCCCCTCACTCCCACTCTAATATATATATATATATATATATTCCCTCAAAAAAAAAAAAAAAAAAAAAAATCTCC